TTGGCGGAAGAAGAGTTAGGGTGACATTTACTCTCCAGGGCCTCGGGACAAGCCTGCCCTCCACCCCATCTCATCAATCCCTCTTCCTAAGTCCTTACCTCAGGGAAATTCTTCTCAATGATCTGCAGCGTGGCAGCCATGCAGCTTCTGTGATTCAGGATTATGTCCACACTATGGTCCACTAAGTCTTCAGAAAAGGGAATCAGAAGGTTGAGAGGGGTTTTCCTCAACCAGCGAGAGCACTGACTCCTTCCTTGAGTTGTCATCCCTGAGTCTTCCCCCCAAAAAGACCCCCCTGCCCTCACCTAGCCTAGAATCACTGCTGACAGGCATACCTGGGTCAAAGCGGAGCTTCTGGAGGTCAAGAGCTTTCTCGCAGACATCATATCGTTTGGTCAGGGTCAGCTGCAGAGACAGAGACAAAGAGTGGCTCTGAGGCTTTGCTCTGAGGTGGTGACAGGAAAATCGGAGTCTGGGACAAGAGGTGAGTCTGGGAAGCAGGCAATACAACGTGCTTTGAGTCTCCCTTACCTCTAGCTCCTCCATTTCTTCTGGCTTTAACTTATGCTTTATAGAGTACGGTACACCAGAAGGACCGACAATGATAGGTATCTGAGGGAAGGAAAAGCAGAGAAAGCTCCAGGAACTCTAACCACACAGCAAATGACCAGCCCTTGGCTTATCCTCCTACCCCGAGATTAGGTACAGTGAGTGTCCCCAGGCACACACCTTTCGGTTGTCCTCATCACAGATCTTGTAGCTGACATCCTTCAATGCAGAAGCAGTTCTATGGTCCTCAACAAAGAACCGGGCCCGATTTTTGACACAGTGGAACTACAAGGAGTGAAGGCCAGAACAACAGTGTCAGGAGCCAACAGCCCCTGCTGATCCAGAATTTCCTGCCTCCCATCTGTGCCCATCCGTCTGGCTTCACCATCCCCTCTTACATCAACAGGTGTGAAGGAGACACTGCAATGGCTCTGGATTGAGCTCACTAGCCATGCTTTGTCATAGTTTGCTCCATGAGG